AGCATGGCCAGCAGAATGACAACAATCTACCACCGAGTTACGCTGAAATATTTTCCTTATTGTCTTCGAGCAGATTCGTTTATTTAAATAGTCCCACCTTTTTTTCTCCAAAGATAAAGTGTCATGTCTTCAGTACATTTATTGAAGATTTGTTAAAATCGAGCCCGTTTTCTTTTCAATTTATCCCTTCTCTTGTAACCTGATATTATTTTTAATCATTTCAACTCAATGAAAGCGGGAATGCCACTAGTACACAGGGGATTACAAGGAGTGAAAGTGTGAGAAAAGACTGAGTATAAGGAGGATTGATGAAAAGATAAAAGATGGACGGGATTCAAGAAGATGGCGATTGACGTTGCACTTAAATTTTTGAAGATTCTATTTATCAGGGAAGTATGTAAACGGAAGGAAATTTCACAGGCGGGAAGTGCGTTAAAAGAAACTGTTGAAGTGGAAATGGTGGTTACATTTAAGTATTCCAACGATAAACGTATGGGACCTCGATGCTAATCTAGTGGCAGGCTTAAATTCTTGCAGTCGAGGCACCAGGGAGAAAAGTCGCCATGAAGATATTTTTAGAGAAGACCAAGGGAAGTCACGTCAGTGAGAAAGTGATTGAAGTCGAGATCACATGTCAGGATCAAAACACTTGGTATGAGATCTCTTCGTTAATAGAATATTATGGAGAGAACATGTGTGCAATAAGTAAATTTTAATATGATCTACAAGAAAACTGATATTCAATCAGAAAGAGACAACAGAGTTTCTGGGACCAACAAAAGAAAGAGTGCTTTGAGAATTTAACAGACATATTGAAGTCAGGAAGGAAAAAAAAACACTTCTTCTCCAACAGTTTCTTTTATCGCACTTCCCGACAGTAGAACTCCCTTCCGCTTTTAATCTTCAAAAATTTAAATGCAACGTCAATCGCCATCTTCTGTTATCTTGAACCCCGTTCATCGTTTATCCTTTCCTCATCCCCCTCCCAATACCGAATCTTTTCTCTCACTTTAACTCCCGCTAAACCCCTGTGTACTAGTAGCATTCCCGCCTTGTTTGGGATGAAATGATTAAAAGAAAAGAATAGGCTTCGCTCGCGATAATGTACAATAAGTATAGGGAGGATTGATGAAAACATAAAAGATGGACGGGATTCAAGAAAATGGCGATTGACGGTGCACTTAAATTTTTGAAGATTGTATTTAACAAGGCAGCATGTAAATGGAAAGGAATGATCTACAAGGAAACTGATATTCAATCAGTAAGAGAGACAACAGGGCTTCTGGGATCCATAATGAGGAAAAAGCGCTTTGAGAATTTAACAGACATAGTCAGGAAAGGAGAAAAAAGCGACTAATGACATTAACGAGTTTGAGCCAATGAAGAACAAACGAATGGTAGCCTTCCATTCTATCTTTCTGTTAAATTCAATTTGTGTCAACCCAAACTTTGTCATGTTTCTGTTTATTTTTTGTCTGGCTGATTTAATTCAGTATTTTTAACCAAAAGTGATGAATGAAGATCTGAGTCGAACAGTTTATATTTTGGCAATTATTGGCTTAAACCGTGTCACCTTCTCTTTTTTCAGTGGTAAGGACTTGATAAGAATGACTGACGATAAGTATTGTAGATTATGAGGATGTGTAGGATAGATAAAGGTTGAAGCTAGAAGATTGTAGTGATCGGAAAATCTTGGGAGTCTCTTCCACAGAGCAACCACTCTTGGAAAGAAGCTGTCTTACCAATGGACTACGAAGGAAGTGTTTATGGTTCATCTCTGTGTATACGTGTCATAGTGGTCTTAGATGTAAATGCCTGAACTAGCGGAACTAGGGAATGTGGTGTAGCGATAACGTAACGAGAGGCTGTCAACATTTCGTGTGTATGAAAGGTGTTGTAGAATGGGAAATAATTTATCACCCACAAAAAGGCATTTTTAATTCTGTCGTGGTTGCAATGAGAGGATTGTGTAGCGCCATCCCTGATACGGCATCAACAGACTCTTTTTTTATCTATTTTTGAAGCAGATAGAGTATGGTAGGTCAATTAAGGTCGAGACTTATTGTTGTGGTAGGATCCACCTAATTTGCATAGTGGAGTACCGACCATATAAATATGGTTGGTACCGGGAAAGAGGAAGGAATCAAGAGATTCAACCAGAGACTCTGCCCGACTGCGACTAAGTCAACACATTCTCCAGGAACGGTCTTCCCAAGAATATACAAAATACTATATGTAAATATTGTGTACACTTTCTTGTTTCAATACATTTTGTTCTAAGTACATTTTGTGTTGTATTAATATTCCATGCATTAGTCAAGTTTCAACACTTATTGAACCATATATGTGCCGTTTCACAAGGTTTCGTAAGCATGATTCCGTCCTCCAAGAACTTTGTATCATTCTCTTAAAAAATGTTTAAGTGGTTTTACGTGCGTTCTGATTTAAAATTGTTTTAATTAAAAGAAATTTGCGATATTGAAATAAGTGTGAGTTTAGGTGAACCAATTACTACTGAGTTTGTAAAAACCCTAAGGTAACGTCTCCCTACCTATTTACCAATTCCGGGCACTTTTCATCGATTATTGTCCTTAATCGGTTCATTTGGAGAGAGTACTTGTCTGAATTCCATGTCTGATTTTGCGGAAAGAGACCGAAATACACATTGCCTTTTGCAATCCCACCAGATACACAGTATCACCTTCTTTGGGTGCGGACAGAGGATTTCTTTTTTCAGGACTTTATTTGCTCCACATTGTTGTAAACAATATATTTTTCATTGTCATCATTATTTCCAAAGATAGATAATTTTTGTTGTGTTTAAATACAGAATCCATTATTTTTTTTCTGTAAAACCATTGTAGCAATTTACGTATCCAAGCTGTTTTGAAATGTCTTATTTTTTATGAAATATGTGAAGTATCTCTGCAATGTCCTATGTCATGTGACCTGGATTATTTTCAAGTATTATTTCCATTTGGTCATCACCAACACCTGCAGGCCTGCCCAAACATTCTCAATCTTCCAAACATCACATATTGTCTGGATGGAAGTTGACATCCTTCCGATTGGCCAATATAGAGACTTCACCAATTACTGTTTTTAATTGGTGCAGTTGGGAACAGTTTTTGCCTGAATTCAATGTCTGATTTTGTTGAAGGAAGAAATCTCGTTGACTCATTAAAGAGCACTATATGTGCTGCATCTGTTGCAACAATGGTGTGTCTTGGGCAAGGTAACCTGATGGCCAGACTTTTTATTTCGTTACAGGTAATCAAAAATCACATGCAAAACAATTGTTTATGAGCTGAACATGAGCTTAAAATACACCTTAAATAAATTGAATTATTTAAATGAACCTTTTAGTGGCTATTGTTTCATTAGTGGAATATATTTTGACATTATTTTTATACCAGATGAGCATTAATTGTATTTTGATATGATGCGTTTTTAAATATTAAATAATTTTTTAGTCTTTTTTTTTATTATCATATTTTTTATCTATCTATTTATCTATCTATCTATCTATCTATTCATTTTGTTCATTATCTATCATTAAATCTCATTATCTAGAAAAAATCTATCTATCTATCTATCTATAATCAGCTTGTAAATTATCAATCTATTTAAAAAATCTATCTATCTATCTATCTATCTATCTATCTCAGATTGTTCATTATCTATCTATTCATTATCTATCTATAAATCTATCTATCTATCTATCTTATCTTGTTCATTATCTATCTATCTAGGAACTATCTATTTATCTATCTATCTATCTATCTATCTCAGCTTGTTCATTATAATATTATCTATCATATCTATCTATCTATCTATCTATCTATTTATCTATCTAATCTAGCTTTCTATAGCAATTTCCATGGAAAGTGTTCAGACGAACTGCATTCTTTAGTTCCACCAGTTCAAATCTTCACGGCTAAGGTCCACCATGCTATGCACATTGTAGCAAACCAACCTCATTACCTTCGTATTCCATTGGTTGAGATGTAAATTCCACTCAAGCAGTTTATTCCCACGAACCGCTTTGTGGGACCGGCTCCAAAGAGAATGCTTCACAACAATCTTAACTTATTCAAGTCTAGGGTTAACCGTTATATTCCCCACATATCCGCATCAACTGTGCTTATTACTATCAAGTGGCTCCCGGGCCTTATACAGGGTAAACAAAATTAATATTTTCCTGGTATAAAAAAAAATTGTGTAGCAATGTTTTACTTGTGGAACAATGGACACCAAATGGTTAATATCAAACATTTTTTCTGATCGAGCAAAGAGAAATGATGGAAATTATGAAAAAGAAGATGTAGACAAAAAAGTCTTTGGTTTCGTCGTTACAGATTCATTAGCGTAATATTCGTGATGACTGTCTTATAGTTAATTAATATGCTTACAAAGCAAAACTAAATTACGGTAAGAAGATTCTATTATGTCATTCTTTTAGCGAGAACGGGACCGAACCTCTTTAAAACAAAATTAACGTTCAAACTTCTGGCTATTATCTAAGGTCGAACCCCAACTGAAACTAATAGCTGAAAATGTGTAATTATTTAGCCATTAAATATGTGACAAAACTAAATATCTTATAATTGTGGTTACTTGTTTCCATGACACCTACAATATTAAAAAATAAAACTGCAATCGGAATCTTGTCTTCCTGAATCCTGTTCTTTCTCCTCACTAAAATCTTCTCATTTTCTTTCACTCCCAGTAACCCCTTGAATCTTTGTGGCATTATCGCCTTGCTTAGTGAGAAATGATTAAAAACAAAATTATTATTATTATTAGTAGTAGCAGCAGTAGTAGTAATAGTAGTAGTAGTAGTCGTATTTTCTGAGATAATATCTTAATATCTAATAATTAATGCCTCAACCGGCAGCCTGAGATTTCATGCAATTATTCTCGAACTGTTCATAACTTTTCGGATTATTCTTGGCGTTCCTTAGAAGCTTCTTTTCTGTAACAGCTCCACTGGATCATCAATGCCAATTTTATTTGTCCTTGACTCCACTGGTGACCTTCAACTCTTTAAACTTCAATGGGGCCTATTTGATTTCTTCTATTTGATCTATCTATCTATCTATCTATCTATCTATCTATCTATCTATCTATCTATCTCAGCCACAGCATATCTGTGAGACTATAGACGGGATGCCAGATCAGGCCCAATCACGTTGCATATCCGTCTTTGGATTTTTTCAAGGACCTCGAGATGAACAGCGGGAGCACCAGACCATATATGGCAGCATTATTCCATGCAAGGATGAATGGTTGATTTGTAGATTTGAAGAATGAACTCAGGCGAGAAAAACTTTCTGGCGCGGGCCAGAGAACCAACTTTCTTTGCGGTGGATGAAGCTATGACAGACCTGGAATTCTGAAAACCAAAGTAAAAGCCGCACTGGACAAATTGAACAGAAACAAGGCAATTGGATACCAGCAATGGAATTGTAACGGAAATTTTGACAGCCTTAGATGACAAGATCACCGAATTAACAAATGAAATCTACAAAGCGGAGTTATTACCGGAAGTTCAGTTTTTATCTACATAGAGATTTAAGAAACCAGACGCAAACGAATGCGAACTCCACCGAACAGTAAGCCTAATGAGCCACGTGACAAGGCTCATCGTCCGTATTCTAATGAACAGGGCGCGCAGAAAAATCAGCCCAGAGATAGGACAAGAACAGCGCGGATTCGTTAAAGACACCGGAACAAGGAAAGCGATATTCATGCTCAGAATGTTATCAGAAAGAGCGATACAGATGCAGAAGGACGTGTACCCATGTTTCATAGACTACGCAAAGGCCTTCGACAAAGTACGCCACAAGGATCTGATGGAACTGCTCAGCAACCTTTATATATTCGGGAAGAATATCAGAATAATCAAGAACCTATACAGGCAGCAAACAGTATGCATACGTATAGGTAACGTGTTCAGTGAATATACAAAATCAGAAAGGGGGCGTAAGGCAAGGATGCGTCTTCTCACCCGACCTGTTCAACCTATACAGCGAGGCAATTCTGAGAGAATTGGAAACCCTACCGGGATTTAGCATTGGCGACCACAACCTTAACAACATAAGATACGCAGATGAGAGAGTACTGATAGCAGACACGGAAATGAAATTACAAAATCTCCTACAGAAGGTAGCGACGGAGAGTAAGAAGAAGGGACTAAGCATAAACTACAAGAAGACAGAATACATTGTCATAAGTAATAGGATGAGCCTGAAATGCGATTTGCCGGTCGGGAACACTAGAATCAAGCAGACGCAGAAGTTTAAATACCTGGGAAGCGTCTTGACAGAGGACGGTAAGTGCAACACTGAGATCCATAGATGTATTGGGATGGCCAAGGACACATTCCAAAAGCTGGGCAGAGTACTGCGAGACAGGCCGATATCTTTAGTAACAAAAAAAAGAAAAAAGAAAAAAGAATACTGAACTGTTACGTGACATCTGTCCTTCTTTATGGCAGCGAATGTTGGACGATCTCCTCAAAGATGAAGAAGAGACTCGAGGCGACAGAGATATGGTTCTACAGAAGGATGCTAAGGATATCATGAACCGAGCGTGTGAGCAACGATGAGATCTTAAAGAGGTTGCAAACAAGAAGGAGGCTTATACTTAATATCAGGAAGAGGCAGCTGAAGTTTTTAGGACAAATAATGAGGAAGGCAGGCCTGGAGAATCTAATACTCACGGGTCGAATAGAGTGAAAGAGAAATAAGAGAAAACAACGCGTGACATACCTAGCGGACTTAAGTAGATGACAGAACCTGACCTGGGGGAGGAAGCAGAGGGAAGGAACTTGTTGAGAGCTGCAAGGGATAGAGGGGGGTGGAGAGTCATGATCGCCTACGTCCTGAAAGGACATAGCACATAAAAAGAAACAAAGTAGTTGCTCCACTTCAGGTCAGTGAACACCATGAGACCAAGCAGGCGCACAGAGGCGCTCTCGTGGAGATGGATATCAGCCATCCTGATGACAGTCAGGTGGGGGTCCCTATGGTGGGTAAATGAGAGCAGTTTCGTTTTAGAGGCATTAAAGTTTACAACCACAGATTGGAGGTCCTCTCGAGGCCTACGGCAAGGTTAGTTTTGCCAACGATGCCGGATTTACTATTCACTTGTAACTCAAAGCGAAAATAATGGCATCATCAAAATGCTGACTTTACACAATACTTCAGACAATCGGCTAAACAGAATGTCCACATCAATACTGGAAAAAGAGATAACAGTTAGAGTACTAGAGAAACTTATTTTCCTGAAAAATTGTTTTAACAGAAAGATTTTTAAAAAGTTCAGCCAAAAGCAGAACTGGCTGCTCGGTCAATGAATCGTAAATGTTTCCTTATAAGGTAACGAATGATATTTCCATTATTACTTATATTCAATAAATCTGTAAGGTTTTTCCTATTACAGGTGAGAAATGAAACGTATCTATAATTCATTTGGATTTGAAGTAGTACTGGAAATGTGAAGATTTAAATGAGGGCTTGTATTTCTAGATATATGGTACCAGTTTCAGGACGGATAGGCGATAGGTCTATACAAGATATCATAAGCTACAACAATTACGTTAGATTACATATTAATTACATAACAAAGCGAATAATTTTTTACTTTTATAGCCCTTCTATTATGAATCTATAACATATATCACCTATATGATGTATATGTTATAGCCCTCCTATTATATAGCTATATCATATATCACCTATATCATATATATCTATATCACCTGTTTTAGATACAGCGGATGATAAAAAAAGCACAAACACTATTTTGGTTGGATTCAAAGATAGCTGGACGATTGGAGTTCGAACACACACACACACTCACACACAAATATATATATATATATATATATATATATATATATATATATATATATATATTCGAGTGTGCAGCTTATATTTTATATTATAAAGAAAGAATTTATACAAAGAAATAAATAGCAATGTTAATGTGATTAATGACGAAATCACTTCACTAACAAGACTTAATGAGACATTAACTTGCTATCAATTCCTTAAATAATAAGATCCTTATATTCGAGTTGTTGTCGGATGGAAGACACTTGCCGAGTACTTTCGACAATTTCAAATTGTCATTTTCAGGGCGCAATTTTTTCCCATCTATATACAAACACTAAGACGAAATGATTGTAGACCGAAAGATGTTTTTTTTTTTTTTTTAATTATGCTATTTATTGATAGTTAACTATATATTTTAGAGCTTGGGATGACGCGAAGATAGAGTTCTATATCAAATCGATCACGTGAGAATTTTGTTTGAATTTTGAAAAATATATATTCACGAAATTTTCTTGTTATATATATTTATCTGTTAAAGTGACATGGACTTAAGTATAATCCAAGTAGTAGAGTAAAAATGTCTTAATAGTTTTCCACAGAATTTAAGATAGTAAATTTAATTCTTTGTACAAATGTTGCTTTATTACATATATATATATATATATATATATATATATATATATATATATATATATATATATGAAGAGAGACATTTTCAGAGATCAGTATGGAAATACATCTGCAAAAAAGACCTTTAAAGAAAAACAGTTTTTAAATTACCTTCTGACTGTGAGACAAGCCGAAAATGGCAGACGATAGAAATTTAAGCATACTGTCTCCTAAATTCTCCTATAATAATACAATAAAGGCTGTATAACAGGTGTAAATTAAGGACTTTTATATTTTAAAAAAATTGTTTGTTTTTGTCTTTTGTTGGACAATGTAAGTAACAAAAAAGTTTTAAAAAGGATTATGGTAACCCTCCCTGCTCACAGTAAAACAAAAAAAAAAAAAATGTAAATCATTTTAAGGGAAAATGATAATAAAGTCAAACGTCTTTCGTCCCTAGTTTTTGGCAGGAGAATTTTCCTACGTTTGTAAACATTAATGTCTCCTTGTTTGATTGTGACTGACATGCAACAGTTTTCAGTTTCCGACAGAGAATCAAAACAGGGGTCAAAGGTGAAAGAGATCAAATTGCTTATTTCACAAGAAGAGACCTGAGGAAAGACAAAGTAAATAAAGAAATTAAAAAAATAGTTACAAAAGAAAGCGACTTAATTTCTTTCTGCTTTGATCGACGAATTTTATTCTGCAAATTAATACAACGGAACCTTTAATTACTTTATAAGTATGGTATTTGCCAGTTTCAGAGCTTTTCATATTCGCAATATCTTCTTATTTAGATATTTCAAATGTTTTACTTTACTATCAGCATTTCCCTATTCAGATGGCTATTTTGCTCTGAGGAATTCAGGCAAAAAAAATAGTCCCAGGAAAAAAATTACAGTAAAAAGTTTCATCATTGGAAAAAAAAAAGGACTAGATTTTAGTACAGAAAATCGGGTTTATGGGATACTAACAGCGGAAAAAATCCAGCAGACCTTTCGCCGTAAATTAAAAAAAAAAAAAAAATTCACAGATCGGGTTTTTAGGAGACAAAAATTATCGAATATGTGGCCAACATTGCAAAAATGGACAAAATTCCAGTTTCATCAATAAATTGAAAATTTAAGCAACTTTTAATTGAAATTTTAAAATTAAAAAAAAAATTGATCTTTCTTCACAGATCGGGTTTTTTCTGTACTAAGAAAATCGGGTAACATTTTATGGGATACTAACAGTATACGATCTCTGTGGTTTGTTTACGTTTCGCCGCAAATTTTAAGAAACGCTTCTTAAGTCTTTTCTTCACATATCGGGGGTTTTATGGGGGAAATATATCAAGAATATATGACCGTAACATTGTTAGAAAAAAAATAGCGACCTAATCCATCTTTTGTATACGACCTCTGTAGTTTGTTTACCTTTCGCCGTAAATTAAAAAAAAAAAAAAACACACTTTGCTTCTTAATCTTTCTTCACAGATCGGGTTTTATAGGATACTAACAGACCCTAACTAGGAAATATATCGAATATGTGTTTGTAACATTGTTAGAAAACTTTTTAGCGACCTAATCTATCTTCGTATACGATCTCTGTAGTTTGTTTTACGTTTTCGCCGTAAATTAAAAAAAAAAAAAAAAAAAACACGCTTCTTAATCTTTCTTCAAATTTTAAGGAAACGCTAACATTGTTAGAAAACTTTTTA